CCCCCCCCCCCCCCCCCCCCCCCCTCGAGGCAGGTGCAAAAAAGGGCTGGGGGGGACAGGGGGAAGGGAGCCATACCAGAAGTAACCAACAGCCCCCAAAGCATAGCCTCTCTACAGCTTCTCTCCCCACCCCCATCCTGCCATGGCACATAACCCATCCCACGCTCCCTGCCTTTTGCAGAAGGCATCAGAGGAAACCTTCTCTGCCTGCTACTGCTTATGGCCACCAGAGGGCAGCCTTGAGCCGAGGGAGCCTTCCTCACCTCCTTTGCCATTCTGGTAATTTGGGATGGGGGTGGAGATGCAGAGCCCCCCAGGAAAAGAAGAGCAGTCTTGTTCTGACCAGGAGAGGGCTCATAAGCAGGGCCAAGCTTCAGGGCCAAATGTTGCAGAGGGTGGGGCCCAGCACATCACTTGGGAGCAAAAAGGCCTTTAGCCTGCTCCCCCCAACACCTTCATCCTGGGTCCTGAACGAGGTCCTAGCCCCCCATCCCCCATCCCTTAAGGAGCCTCCAACTCTGATCTGCAGAGCGGGTCTCACAACCCACTACCACTGATTCAGGAGGGAGAGATGGGTGCACAGTCCTCTAGACCCTCAGCCATCACCCCCGGCCACCTCTGAAGGCCTCCCAGTGTCTTGCACGAGGCCCTTTCTTCCAGCACCCTGTCTGGGATAAAGGGTGCTAACCTACTGGGCGCTGCAGTTACAAGAGGTGGGAGGGGGAAGCCTCGTCCCCCTTCCCTGCAGCAGGCAAGGCCCCTCCAGTCCCGACGGCTTCTTGGCTTCCTCAGTCCCTGCCCCCCAAGGGGGCGGCGTACGTGCTTTCTCAGTGCCTGGCTCAGGAAACAGCACCGCTGCACCCGCAGGCCACGGTGCAGGACTGGCAGCAGCCCTGGTGGGCGGGGCTCCACTCCGGCATTCCCCAGCACTCCGCTCTCCGGAGCTTGGCTGCAGCTTGGCCTGACCTTCCAGGTTTCCCTGGCAGGAGATCAAAGCGGCCAAGCCACAAACATACCAGAGCAGGCGCAGCCGACCCGCTGGCTGCTCTGCTCTGTGCTGCGCTGCCTGCCCATCCCCCTTCCTCCTCCTCCTCCTCCTCCTCCTC